AATATTCACAACTGTTCACCACTTTTAGCAACAGCACTACTGTTGCCGTTTACTGTTAGCACTAGAAACCCTCACAACACACTTCACAAATAATATTTTCAGTTCTGCAACATATAAAAGAAACTTGCTACATACCACAACTTAGTTCGAAGATCATGTACCTGTTGAGTAGAGGGTACCAAGTCTGCACTGTCACTATCACAAAACCAGCCCTCTTCGAATTGCGAGTAGAGGGTTTTCTACCAACCACACAAAACCACAACGACTGCACTCATTGGAGGCATGGAAACCCCCAAAAGGAGAAAACGACCAGTCCTTTTCTTCCTTTCTGGAAAACTCTCTAAATATCAATGAAGATTCTGCAAAACCCTAGAGAGGAATGTGCAGAACAGAGGGAAAAGGAGACAACTGATCTGAACTGATTATCGTGGCTCTGATACCATGATAAAACTCAGATTAGATGTTCGTATATGTTCAGATCAGAAGAAAGAGAAGGAAAAGAGAGAGAGAGAGGAGAAGGAGAAAGAGAAGAAAAAGGAGAAAAGTCACAACCGAACTAGAGAGAAAAATCTCAAAACCTCTAGTCGGCCCTTCTTTTATTTATACTCTTCTAAGATATACAAGGATTACCATTGTGCCCTCACATAAGTGAGGGTCACATCTGCAGAGCAATACATATAACTAAGCATAAAAGGACTGTACTACCCTTGTACAGCTGACTCTAACAAGGGCCTTTGAAGTATTTGAAAAGAATAAAAGGGAAGAGAAGATGTAGATTTCTTTAGCAAGGGAAGGAGGTGAGGCATGGAACGAGGAAGCCGATGGGAATGAAGATCTGTTTGAAGTCGATGATTGAGGATGTCTTCATCTGGTTGGATGGGCTTTCTTCTGCTTCATGTGTGGCTGATGGTTTCTGTTCCTTGTCTTTGATCTGTTTAGCACCTTGCTTCACCTGTACTCTGTTTCTTTTTATTTAATAAAATTTTATTTTACTCTCTCTTCTCTCTCTCTCTCTATATATATATATGTATGTATATATATATAATATAGTGGAGAAAACAAAAGCTGAGAGACAGCCAATTTCCAAATTCACTTCTTACCTTCATTCAAAGCCAAAATCTTAAAATATCCAAAGTCTGACCAGTTGATCCCCATATAATGATACAAGGACATAGAAATAGACTAATTTTTCCCATCTCTTCTAGGACTTTCAACAAGAAAAAAACTTCTGACCATACTTCAAATTTTCTTCGCAATGTTTCCTTCTTAGAAACTAAATTCAACTAATAAAAATAACATGACAAATAAATAACAGTGCACCCTCTTTCTAACTCCAGATGAGCCTAAATACACTGAAAATGAACAGCTGGATTACATATTCCTACATGTAGATCTACATCTCATCTTATGATGATGCAATTAAGCAGTTAAAGTTCTACCATTTTAGAACCTGTTCCTAGATTTATCTCAGCGAAGAAAAAAGGGATATTATCTAAAACTCACCATGATTTTTCAAAACCTCTAGAGAGCCCCTTGTCATTGAGTTTTATTGTCCAAAACTCACCTTCCATTAGATTTCTGTAATATCACCACTAGTGGTCATTAATAAAAGTTGTCCACGTAAGCATTTAAGTATTTTACATGACCAAACTACCCCTGAATGGTTAGTCATCCTTATTAAATATTTTTTAATGACAAAATTACCCCTAACCCAGGCCTGGGCCCACACCAGTCCCAACACACATATATTTAAAATATATATTTTAATAGGCTTGACTGACCATTCAGAGGTAGTTAAAATACTTAAATGCTTATGTGGACAACTTCTGTTAATAATCACTAACGGTGATCTGACAAAAATCTAACGGAAGGTGGGTTAATAAAACTCACTGACAGGGGGGCTCATTGGAGATTTTGAAAAGTCATGTTGAGTTTAAGAGAATTGTGAAAAAGTCATGGTGAGTTTTAGATAATATCCCAAGAAAAAAGCCTGCACCTAGATTTATAATTTGTTTCTGTATCGCTGTTTGCTGATCCTGCATTCTTGTTGATTGATATCTGCAATGTTTGCTGAAAGGTTTAGTCACATCTCTCCAGTAAGCTCTCTCTGCATTAAAGCCTTCCAGAAGGATACATGCATCAGTCCCCCTCCTTAAATGCTTTCTCCCTTTTTTAGCTGTCCTTTTTTTTGTGGTTTTTACTTTTTACTTGTTAAATCTTAAGTACGTAAATTGTCTGAACTTGTGAGTCTCAACCCTCAGTGAAGAAGAGAAGATAGAAAATAAAGAACAAGAACAACAGAAATAGGTTTTATGTGGTTCAGCTTTGTAGCCTACATCAATGGGTGGGGATGCAAATCAGGCAGGTTAGGCTGGGTTTAGTAGGTGCTAAGACCTGGACCTTTGGTCTGGGCCTGGCCCAACCAGAAGTCAAAGCCTGAGTTTGCAAACCCAAGCCCAGCCTAAGATAAATGTAACGCAACTTGGGCTGGGCTCAGGTGGGCTTGGTTGATCATGCGTGGATTATTCAGGTTTGAAAGCCTTCTTATTCATATTTTCTGATTAATAAATCTCTTTACTCATTCATAAAAAATAGCCTTCTTATTCATATTTTTCACTTATACCTTTCATTTGGGCTCTATAGCCTGATTAAGAAGTAACATAAGAAGGTAAAATGGAATTAAAACAAAAAGAGATTTCATCTAGGTGAAAAGTTTTCACCAGATAATCGAAACATCAGACTTCTCATCATGTTCAGCAGTGACTAACTCAGATCAAGTGACAAAACTGGTCTGCAGAGGGTTCTTGTTCTAGGTTGACTGGTTTAATTCTTTAGTCCATTCTGGTATTATATTTTAAAAACTATGTATGCATAAGGTTCATTCATGTGATTACACATACACCATCATCATCATAATTTAAGCTTTGTCCCAACTATATGGGGGTGGCCATATGAACCCTTCCATTGTGTTCAGTTTAGTGCTTTATCCTCGGGGTGAGTGTTCAGTTTATTTGGTTAAAAACCGAACTGAACAAACCGAAATTTTGAAAACCATATATATAGCGAAGTTCTAAAGCTAAAAACTGAAACCGAAACTGAAACCAATTTAAGTAAAAAACCAAAACCAAATTTTTGGTTTGGTTTTAACCAACTAATGCTCACTCCTACCATATCCGTTGTTAAATTATGAGCACTTAGATCATTTCTTACTACAACTAATGTTCTTTCTAGTCTGCCCCTTATCCCTTCTAGCCTTTTCAATTGGCAACAGATTGCTTCTTATGGGTGCTCTAAATAATCTATATATTACAATCTTTTCTGTTTCTTAATTGACATCTAGACATATCCTTGTAGATATCATGCTTCTTTCAGACAGTATTTCTGTTATTACTGCATCTGAACACTTTTGTTATTCTTTCATGATTCCAGTAGTGAATCTTTTATTGTAGCCATATACTAATTTTGTGGAATGGGAAGTGATTGCTAACAATCTGTATTGTACTTTAATGCCTATTTGTAGGATTCTTCTTAAAGCATATTCCAAGAAAAATCAACTCCTTGAGGTAAGTGATAACAGAATATGTTTTTAGGATTTTCAATATACATTCTTCTAGATTTCTACTTGGAGGCAAAAGCAACAATATGAACTTGTTTAGGTGAATGCCTACTTGCCTAGGACATTTTGAAACTATTGATTTGGTCATTACACAAATACCTGGCCAAGATTGATTTTATTTTGAGAACGTAAAGTATCAGGTATTCATTAGAAATGTGAATAAAGATGCAGTGGAAGAGATGAATGTGCAACTAGGAGCTATCCATCAAGTACGAAAAGGGCACTGGAAAAAGTATTCCTTGTATCAACTATCCATGCTGCATATAAATGAACCACAACCAAAAAAATTTGAGTATATCAATTTGTTCATATAGTTAGCCATAAGCCATGATCAAATTGTTTAGTTATTTTCTCTTTGGATTGACAACAATGCTTATTTATTTATTTATCATTACAATAAATGCTCTAGTAAGTAATAACCACTTATCATGGAAGAAAAGGGATTCTATTATTTATTTATTTATTGATAAGTAATACATATGTCACTCTCTACACCCAAAATATCAGACTATAGATAGATAAAATCCTCCTCTTGGAAGAACTGAAATATCCTTAAGAGAAATGGTCCAGTCCATGATATGCTAGTCACATCTGTGCGCAGTCTTGGGATGTCTTTCTCTTTCCCCTAAAAAAATGTCTATTCTTCTCTTTCCATGTACACCAGCATATTGGCAAGGAACTGTATACCAAAGAACCCCTCCTTCAACCAAATGAAACATAACCATGAAAGAGCTTCTTTAAATGACCAAGGAGGTGCACATGAGAAATTAAATAGCTGACCAGTTGGGGATAGGAGGGATCTTTAGGAATCATAATGGAGACATTATAACTATTTTTTTGGGGGGCTGGCAAAAGACCTGAACTATACAAATCTGTTAAATAGTTGTGAAGGTATTGCCTAGACATCACCTACGCAGTTAGGCACCTCTTGGTAACTTTGCCCAAACCAGTTAAAAGGTGTACCTCAGGCATGCCTAGGCGCATAGGCAAGACATGTTAGGTATGTGCCTTGTCTAGTCCCCAGGTGCAGCACTCTCAAAATGCATGTGCCTGGTGCGCCTTGCGCTTCAGCCCAAGCGTGCACCTTTTCAAAATTTGCTTGCTCGCCGAAGCTCCGGGAACCCCCCCTATTTCCTAATGTTGTTCATTCATTCTTCCAGATATTTTTATAAGACATTAAAATTATAAAATCATTTTTTGTAGGGATTAAGAATGTAAGACCCTAACATGGACTTATTTGGGCTTGCCTCAAGAGGCTTGGTACAAAGGTGACTCATAATTAGGAATGCAAAATGGTTAACATCATATTAGCCATTTAAACTAATGCAATTGGGAAAAAAATATAGAGATTGAAAGTTTTACATACTTAAATATTAGACCTGTTCACGGGCTGGGCTTCGGGCCCAACTTTACATTGTTTCGGGCTCGGGCTGGGCCCATTAGAATTTTGACAAAAGCCAAGCTTGAGCCCGGCCCATGAACAGGTCTATTAAATATGTTTTATATGTCATGTTTGATTTAATTTTTGAATTTTCATGTTAAATATGTTTATATATTTTAATTTGAGATCAGAGTTTTCAAGGCGCCAAGGCGAGGCTATGTGATAGGGGGTGCCTTGTTGCATGGTTGCCTAGGCGCCTGCCTAGGCGATGGATTTTTTTTATTTTAAGTAAAACCATATATCCTAGGGTAGTTTCCTAGGTTCCATAACCATCTTTCTTTAATAATTATTCATATTTTTCATAAGAGAAGTATAAATTTCATGTTTAAGTCTAGAAAATCAACATTTAATGAGAAGAAAAAGAACAAAGGAAAGAAAATTCAAAAAATATAGGGGCTGTACCCCTACTTTTGTTATAGGAAAGAAGAAAAGAAAAGGTGAAAGAAGAAGAAGATGTGGAAGAAGAAAATGTGTTGATTAGACAAAATTTTAAGTTCTTCCCTTGCTTATTGGTTCAGGTTTTGAAAATTTTGAGGGTTCAATCAAGGATCAAAATTTCGACACAATATGCCCCGTATCGGGTGTATTGTATTGTATCTTTGGGGTCCCGATACTTGTTTACAGGTGTTTTTGGGGACCCATTTTTTTAAATAATATATAAATATGTATATTTTAAAATGAAATTGATTACCAAAGAAATAAAAAAATGGGGGGAGTATTGTTACAAGTACTGATACACCTCTGCCTATACACAGAGGTGTATTGATACTTTGAACCATGGGCTCAATACAGCAGTTTGCAATGTTTGCGTTGATTAAACCCTAACAAAATAAGAAAATAATAAAAAGAAATTAGTATATAAACACATAGAATGAATATTCTAGTTTAATAATGTCAAAAAAATTTAAAATATAAAAGTATTTTATAACCCAATGCATAAAACTGCTTGGTGACTAGGCAAGGCGAACCTCTAAGGGCGCCTTGACAACTGTGTTTGAGATAATAGTTTTTTTAAAACATTTATTTTAAAATTTAAGTTTATATTTTTAATTAATGTTTTGTTGAATATTTTTAATTTTCCATTTTGTTTTTCATTTTTAGCATTTTTTTTTGTATTTTTGCTCCTTGCTTCGAAAAGGCACACACCTCACCTTGCACATTGTGCCTTGAGCACAAAATGCCCCTTGTGCTTTTTTTTTTTTTTTTTGCGCCTTGCGCTTTTGAAACACTAGCCTGAAAGCCTTGGCTTGTAGAACAAGGCACATTCTAGGTGACTAGGCATCTGCATGGGTGATAAGGTGGCCGCCTTGTGATTTTTGTCACCTATGTAGGAACCTTGTTATAATATCATTACCATAGCTACATCTTACTAATATCTGTGTTAATAGGTTCTATTTTATACTATATATCATTTATACTTTGTTTTAAAGTTTTACTTTGAAATTTAAAAGATCCAAGGGTTTTGAGAAGAGAAAAGGGAGAAAAGGATAATGTTTCTTTTTTCTTTTGCTTTTTCCGCACACACACATTCTCTCTCTCTCTCTCTCTCACACACACACACACATTAAATAAAGCAGTGCTTCCAACCTTGATCTTTTTTCTCTTTTACTTGCTCTATTTTTGATTCTTTATCATATAAAATATTGCTATCTTTAGTTGATAGTTTGATATGAATTGATCTATTAAATATTTATTAAATTAGTATTATTTTTGAAAAATATTGAAATTAATATATTTACAATACTATTTTCTTTTGAATATGATGATTTGCCATGTTTTTGAGAGGAAGTTTAATGTTCTTATTAAAGACAATTGTTTTTTTTTTTCAATTAATATACTTGCTGATTAGTATATAAAAATAGGGAACTAACCAAAATTTAATTACCTAGGTGCTACCTATGTAACTAAGCACTTCACTGTCACCCAGAATTGTCTTGAGTTCTATGCCTTGATAACTATGCTGCTAACTGAGGGAGTAGAAAAGTTTGGAAGATCTGTTTTGATATAAAAACTGTGAAAGAAAGAAGAAAAGAAAGAGAAGAGAAGGTTTATGCAGTGAAAAAAAGAGGAGAGAGATTGAGGAGAATGGGAGAAGCCAAAATTAGGTCTGGCCGCCCCTTTCATTAGATTATATACTCTCAAATAAAAACAGAGTACACAGACAAGTATGCCCTTAGTAAGTCAGCTACTTGTATGGACTGAATAAACACTCTTAACTTAAAACATAAACTAATGGACCTTGGGCCCAATAACTCCTTAACTATGTGCTATGTAAATAAAAACAAGTGATATCAGTCCAAAGTGGTAGTGGACTGGATTCAGAATGAAGGTATGGATCCTTGGCAGTATAGAAATATTATGAAGGAGATAAAGGAGCTCAAGAAAATAGAAGTATCCTTACAGCATTGGTTCACAGATGCTCTGGCAAAACAAGGGGTAAATAGAGAAGATTTACTTTGGGGAGTGGGGGGAAATATATGATGTACACAATTACACATATTCTGTATTGGCCATTTCAATCTCAAGGGTGTAGCCATATGTAACTCATTCTTTTTAAATCAATAAAATCAAGTTGTTACTCATTTAAAAAATTCGCGGATGGTGGCAGTCATATGACAACATAGAAACAAGTGATTGACAATTTTGTTAGTTATTTGAGGTTACTTGCTGTAGAAAATTGTTTTTCATATAGCAACTTCATTTGTTTCTTGAACTCTCATTTTTAGGCAAACATATTAGGCTACTAAACTTAAAAGGTCAGTTTTGTTTCACAATAGGCCTTTATCTGTTGAAAGAAAATTTAGTCATTCTTCTCTCAGAAACATTATTTATTTTAAAAATTGAAGGTGTTTTCTCAAAAAATGAAGAAAAGAGAGTTAGAGTTGAAGATACAATATATAAGAGTGGGGAAAAGAAGAATGGTGACAACAGCCTAAACCCACTTGAATCAGCCATGAAAGGTATGAAGAGATGGAATGCAATATGCTGGAGTTGTGGAGTCTGGAAGTAGAAAAACATTTATTACTGTTAAATAAATGTTTTTCTACTTCCAGTCTTGCATGGTGAAACTGCCTACCACCTGTTAATCTCCTGTCCATTTGTTTGTGACATTCGGGAATGGTTTTTCTACTTTTTTTTAGGTGGAACCTCCTGTTAGTTTGGACAGATTGTTCGATTCATCTGTATTAAGATGCACAAAAAAGAGGGGCAGAATCATTTGGAAATGGACAAGGGCAGCGGTGATTTGGACAATTTGGAAAGAATGAAATGCAAGAATTTTTTATGAGAAAGAAAGAAGCAGCAAGGTAGTAATTGGTACCATCACTTTAAGAGTAGCACAATGGGTGAAGACTTGGGCACTGTTCTTGGATTTCACTGTGGAAGATTTCTTTAGAAACTGGGGAGCAATAGCAGGGACATCCTCTAAAAAACCAAAAATAAAAGAAGATTGGAGTCCTGCAAAGGGAGGGTGGGTGAGAAACTGAACTTCAATAGCTGTAGCATGG